CATGATCCAGGGGTTCCTGAGGGAGCTCAAAACTCTTTTGGTGGGTGGTCCAAGGCCAAAAATTCTTTGTAGTAATACTGTTATCTGCCTTTTAAAAAAATACTTCTTTCACAGGTATATAAGATTAGGTGCAGAAGGTGACATGAGAATACAGGTGTCAACTATTAAGCCACGCTTTAAAGATATGTGCCAAGGTTTAAAACAATGGCACTTCTCTAGCTTTTTTTTTTTTTTTTAAATATAGTTATTTTTCATAAAAATACCTATTATTTGGGATAATATATAGTGAGCTTATTGTTTTTATTTTTAATTTAAAAATATTCTTTAAATTTCTTTCTTTTCTTTTTCTCTTTGTCTTTTTCTCTTTCCATCTTTTGTTGTTTTATTAAAGAACAGGGACAGGACCTGTGGGCAGAAAGAGCTACCTTTTTAAATTTCTTAATTTTCATTTATGAAAGGTAAAAACATCAATAGATATAACCATCATAAACAAAAGCTCCTTTGGGGGTCCTCAATTTTTTAAAGAGTGAAGAGATCTTCAAGTCCCCAAATTTGAGAACTACCGCTGTAAGTAAAAGTGGTATTTTTGTAGTCAGATTTAAAATTAATCTTTGTTTAAAATTCAAACATAGATTTAACTCTAAAGCCCCACATGGTATTCATTCAACAAAAATTTATTTACTGCCTATCACGTACATGCCAAGTATTATGCAGTATTTCTATGTTTTTAAAATTTATTTATTTTGAGAGAGAGTGTGTGTGCAAGCATAAGCTGGAGAGGGGCAGAGAGTGAGGGAGAGAGAGAACCCCAAGTAGTGTAAGTTTCTGAGGATGCAAAGCACTAACTGGTCATTTTAAAGTGCGTAATTGTTATTCTAAGAACTTAGTTGAGAGCTCAGAGTTCCAGACCTATTAACACAAAAGAGATAGCTTACTGCGAAAATATTGGCACAGGTACTACCAGTACCTTGCCTAAAAAACTTAGTGTAGCCATTGTTCTGAGTGCATGTTTTCAATTGCACGGCAACTCTGCTAGGATGAGTTAGCTAAAAATGTACCCCTGAATATTGCTTGGGCATTTAAAAGGTGATGTATTTAAACATTAGAGCATATGTTCCTAATAAAACTGTTGTATTTTAATTTTAATTTTTAATAAGTTGTTCTTTTTTATTTGTTCTTTCTTATTTGTTCTTTTTTATCTATATTTTTCCCTTACATTGAGATATAATTGACATATAGCACTTCTTAAGTTTATGATGTACAACATTATGATTTGTATGTGTATATATTGTGAAATTAACTTGCTTTTATTAACAGTAGTCAGGCAATCTGTCCCTGGTCAGAATTTATAAAACAAAATCCAGAAAAAAAAAAAAAAAAGAAGTACAAAGCAGGGAACGGATAGATAAGATGGATGGATGGATGGATGGATGGATGGATGGATGGATGGGTAGATGGGTGGATGAGTGGATGGATAAATCAACTCATCAATAAAGTCAATAGATACTCTCCTTAAATCTTCCCCTGCAGGGGCGCCTGGGTGGTGCAGTCGGTTAAGCGTCCGACTTCAGCCAGGTCACGATCTCGCGGTCCGGGAGTTCGAGCCCCGCGTCAGGCTCTGGGCTGATGGCTCAGAGCCTGGAGCCTGTTTCCGATTCTGTGTCTCCCTCTCTCTCTGCCCCTCCCCCGTTCATGCTCTGTCTCTCTCTGTCCCAAAAATAAATAAACGTTGAAAAAAAAAAATTAAAAAAAAAAAAAAATTCTTCCCCTGCAACTGAAGGTGACCCAAGTAGATGATCTAAAAGCACCAATTGGACTGTAACCAGAGGATCTTGGTCACAGCAATTTTGTACCATTCAGGATTGGTGTTTTATGAATCTCTTCCTGCCTATTTTTGTTCTTAATGTCATTATTAGGATTTAGGTTTTGCAGAATTTATTAATAGCCTAGCATAAAGTTGAGATTATGTCTGTGGGCCCCCAAATACTATCTGTTTAATAGGCAATCAGTTGTATACATCTGCCATACTTGAGCAACTAAAGCTGTAGGAAGAAGTTGTGTCGTTGCAAAATTTAGAAAGTTGCAAAGTTAGTTTCTAAAAACCAGGTAGTAAGGATATAGGAAGCTAGAGGCTTGTTTTTTAAAAAGCATATATAGTACAAACAGAATACAGTGAAGCACAGAAGGAGAGCATAAGGTCCGGTTCTTTGCATTTGTTTTCTTCTGCCACATTCAAGTTTTAGTTTTCAGGAATGCTTTTGAAAAGGAAAAAGGAAGGACATAAAATAGAGGAAGAAAAAGAGAGAAGAGTGAGCCTTGGCACCAGACGAAAAACATCATTTGCATTTTTGGAGCTAGGTTTATATGTCATAATTAACAAATCATGAGCCAAGTGTGGTTGGATCTAACATTTCTTGGGCCGGGACATTAAGTCTCAATTCCTTATAGTGAGGGATTGTCTAGGCATTCCTGGTCTTGTCCCTTTAAAGAGCATGGGGAGTTGTTCACGTCCAGAGTGAGTTGATGAGAGAGGCTGAAGGTCAGTCTAAAGGGTCGGGAGGCTGAAGAGAACTTGTGTGGGGTGTTTTAGGCTTTCTATGCTGATTCTGGATAGCTGGCAGGGCTGCCTGCCTGTTTGTCTTTCTGCTGGTTACTGACAGGTAATGAAATTCCATCAAAGACGGTGCGTGATCGTGTGTTCTAAGTCTCATGTTCTTGAGAAACTCTAGTCAAGGTTTGGTTACAGGGGAAGTTTGGGATTCTTTTGTCTGGAAGGCATTCTGTCTTTAAAAAATCAATTGGGAATAATTCTGATCCTAATCATTATCTCTGGCATTTGTGGACTATGGATTTCGAAGCACTAAACAATAGGAAAAATTCCTTCCAAATTTGGTGGAGAAGATGGATAGGGAAGAAGGAAGGGGGAAACTCCACCAGTTGCTTTTTTTTTTTTTTTTCCTCCTCAGACTTATTTGGAGGACTGCTGAACGATTTTGTGAATTTACTTCTTTTTGTTGCCTAAATTGCTTTTTAAGCAGTTTTATAAAGAAATCTACCTAGTTGGTTATTCTCTAAAATTAAACTTGTGGAAAAACTACAGTGCCTTTTTGGGTCTGAAACCCAATCACTTCTTTCCTCCCAAGATTATTCTGTAGATGAACATTTTAAGTTATCTGAGGTGATTTAAATTCATGGAAGTCATAGCATAGAGATGGAAATGTCCTGGATAGAAGAAAACCACTGGTTCTCATGGCACCCTTGAGGTGTCTTCAGGGCTGGATTTATCTACTCTGTAGTTTTCAAGTAAAGGACTAAAAAACAACTCATTTCTCTGAGAAGGCTAGCAACTCCTAGCCTTCTTGCTTTGAGAACAAAGCAACTTCTCCTTTGTTGTTTCCTGTTCTTTTTTTTTTTAAATGATAACGTGGAGGTTCCTCAGAAAATTAAAAATAGACCTACCCTATGACCCAGCAATAGCACTGCTAGGAATTTATCCAAGGGACACAGGAGTACTGATGCATAGGGGCACTTGTATCCCAATGTTCATAGCAGCACTCTCAACAATAGCCAAATTATGGAAAGAGCCTAAATGTCCATCAACTGATGAATGGATAAAGAAATTGTGGTTTATATACACTATGGAATACTACGTGGCAATGAGAAAAAATGAAATATGGCCTTTTGTAGCAACGTGGATGGAACTGGAGAGTGTGATGCTAAGTGAAATAAGCCATACAGAGAAAGACAGATACCATATGGTTTCACTCTTATGTGGATCCTGAGAAACTTAACAGGAACCCATGGGGGAGGGGAAGGGAAAAAAAAAAAAAAAAGAGGTTAGAGTGGGAGAGAGCCAAAGCATAAGAGACTGTTGAGAACGGAGAGCAAACTGAGGGTTGATGGGGGGTGGGAGGGAGGAGAGGGTGGGTGATGGGTATTGAGGAGGGCACCTTTTGGGATGAGCACTGGGTGTTGTATGGAAACCAATTTGACAATAAATTTCATATATAAATAAAAAAAATAAATGCAATCATATTATTTTCCAAAAACAAACAAAAAAAAATAAAAAAATAAAAATGATAACCATACATTTAAATGTATGAACAGATGAAATAAATACTCCAGGAAGATAAAGGGTTTATTAAGATCTAAACAATAATCTTTGTTCCTTGGGCAACTGCAGAAAAGAATTGTGCTTGCTTTCCCAGAGCATGCCTAAGTGGCCCAGGCACCCTTGATTGCTTGGCGTTCACTGAGATGATCAGACACATGGATGAGACCTTGATTCTTTTTCATCAGATTCTCCTATCAGTGCAGTAGAGGATGATGAAGTAGAAATATTAGAGAGAGAGAGAGCTTTTAAAAATTATAAACAGTGTTTGATTATTTCTTTGTGTTAGGAGGCAATTTTCTATAGGGTTTTCAGATATTTGCACATCTTATGAGCAGAAGTATTGACTGTCTTTTCAAGGATGTGTGCATAGTAAACAACCTCAGGAGGTAGAGCTAGTGACTCTAGAGCAAAGGACCACTTGCCTACTGTTGGGTACAATAAAGAAAATGTCTTCCTCCAGAACGAAGGACACGTGTGCTTACTGCTCGTTATAAAAGACTCGACTTTCCTAAACTCAAATTTCCCCTCTTGTCATGCAGCACATTGAGTGTACAGGTATGATCTGACCCTCTTCCCAAAGGTCTGTAGGAATTGGGGTTCAGGGAACTCATGCAAATGCTGATATTGTGGCTACTGCTAGTGATGTGAGTACTAAACTGTCCTATGTGTCTGATGTTTTCTGCCGAGGACCCATGAAACTGGCAGGCTAACTTGTTAGCTTGCGAGTATGGTGAAATCTTTGACTGTTTATGTTTTTAATACTTAGAAATAATAATGATTTGTTAAAAAGGATGTATTTGAAAAGATTTATTGAAACTTACATTTCTAGTTTGTATAATTTTTAAGAAGTTTTTTTATGATATTATTTCCTCTTGTTTTGATACAGGGTTTGTTTATAATGTCACTCCATATATGGAGTATCATCCTGGTGGAGAAGATGAACTAATGAGAGCGGCAGGATCGGATGGTACTGACCTTTTTGATCAGGTAAGGTGGTGAAATTAATCGTCCTATTACAGTAGGAGGGTTCTCTTAGATTTAGCAGTGTGATAGTTGTAGAAAAAAATAGTTGCACAAATTTCATATGCATTGGCTTGAATTTTGAAATTTGGGAAGATGCTCGAGAATAACAACTGTTTAATTTGCCTTTGAATTATTTTACTATAATTTTAGAGATGGTTTCAAATCTGTATCCAGGAGTCTCCTCTTAAGTGCTTGCTGTCTCCTCTGCTAGCAGCTGATTACTCAGTTTTTATTAATTTTGATTATGATGACGATTGGCTTATGGACAACAGTAACAATTGGAAAAAAGAACAAGCCACTTAGCTTCTCTGCCCTTAGTTTTTTCTCATTTGGGAATTGTTATATAATTGGCCTATCTTGCTGTACTGAATCTGCTTATCATGTAGAAAATCAGATGATTAATGAATAGAAAACTTATTTTTCCTAGAGTGATAGCAGAGATTCTGAATGTATATTTCAAAAGACGTTTATTTAAATTAGTCATCTTTCCCCTTACATTGACTAAAAACAAACATTGGCTCTTATACTATTTTAAAGTTACATAGAGTTATGTTTGCTGTCAATAGGGTGAACTGTTATTTTGAAACAATCTTGAGAAGAACAGAAATTTGCTTTTGTCTCACATATACTTTATTTTGTATTTTGTGATGCTTATCCACGTTGTAGTACTGGGATTTTACCACTTCAGATACCAGAGTCAGATTGGGTTATTTTTAGAGTTGACTTCTGAACAAATATAATTTGATTTCTGTTCCTTCTACTTTTTCATCCATTTTAGGATTTAATTTTTGACCAGGTTGCCAGAAATATAGTTTGTTTTATATTTAAATGTACTTAATGTGCATCTGCTTAAATAACAGAATTCTATTTGCAATTAGTGTTCTTCCTGGGTTGGAGAAAAGTCATGTTTGGCCATTGGTCATAATAGCATTCTCCTTGGGAGGTTCTTATTGCTGTTTTGTTTTTTTTTTTTTAATTTTTAACTTTTAATTTTTACTTATTTTGAGAGAGAAAGAGACAGAGAGACAGCATGAGCAAGGGAGGGAGAGATAGATAGAGAGAAAATCCCAAGCAGGCTCCACACTGTCAGCGCAGAGCCCAACGCTGGCTCCAACTCATGAAACTGCGAGATCATGACCTGAGAGCCATATGCTTAACCAACTAAGCCACCCAGGTGCCCCTTTATTGCTGTTTTAAGGCAAATTCTCATCGTCATTTGGTAGTTGTTATTGTCTCTCAATGTAAGCCAAATAGAAAAGTTTGGAAGCATTTGTGTGAAAAATTGTCTGCCATACTTTTTTCTTATATCTATTCTGTAACCTCTTGATTCTGAATATACTCTTCCACAAGAAGATTCCTCAGTAAAATCTAGTCCTATTTATATTCCTCAGTGTTGTGAAGTTAATATGGACCTTATTTAAGCAAAATCGTTTCGGAGAAGTCACAAGAACTGCTATAGTGTTAAATTCTTTAGCAGTTTAAACAGTATGTTAGTTACCAGATTGCTGCGTTCCCCGTGGCTTTCGTAGGACCAGTGATGTTTATTTAAGACTTTCACTTACCACAGAAATAAACAACTTTATATTCTAGATTCTGTGGTGAATCTTTATATCTTTATATCTTTAAACACTGGAGAACTTATTCATGGCTAGTATTTGAGTTGCACAAAGAATATTAAATAATCTTTTCTCTGTCAGATTTGTCTTTACTTTAGATCCCGCTTCTGACCTTTTGTTGTGTATTTTCAGATGCTTGATGGGCAATTTGATAACTTGTTGGCACTTCAACTCATTTTGCTCTCAAATAATATCAACCCATCTACTTCCCTTTTATTCCCCCTCTGTTTTCCTCTTTCTGGTAATGGGGACTTGAAGCCACTTAAGTAATTTTTGCCTTTTCTCATTGTGCACCACTATCTGGTCACTAGCGAAATCCCATGATGCTGTCTTTAAACATTACATTCTTTTCTCTCTTCCCACTGCCTTAGATAAAGTCATTATCACCTTCTCTGGCCCTACCATTGTAACACTGTACAGATCCCTTTACTTTCCAGTACCAATGTAAATAACATGACAGCTAGATTAGTGTTCTTAAAGACAGTCATCTTAGCACCTTGTTCTACAGCTCTCTGATGCTCACCATTGACAATGGGATAAATCAAAAGTCATTATCATGGCCTTTGAGGCCTTCAAAAGACTGTATTAAAGTAAATATCCTCAACATGCATTTGGCTTTGAGCAAATGGAAGTACTTTGAGCCAATCACCCGTTCCATGATTGGGATACCTCATACTTTTGCCTCCTTGGATATCCTTCTTCTTCATTTATCTGTCAAAATTCTACCCAATGCTCTAGCCCCAGGGATAGTGCTTTACATGTCATTGGATGCTCCATAAATATTTGGTATATGGAATTTTAATTTATATTAATAAATGGAGGCTCCCTTATAATTATATACATATATTGCATATTTGTTATTTTAGTATATGTTTACTAACACAGGAGTGTACACAAGCATTCTCATATCAGTATTATTTGACCTGATTATTTTCCTGATTATCTAGTATTTTATTGAATAATTTATTAGTTTTCTTTTACTGGTCTTTTACAATTCAACATCTAGGTTGTTTCCAATATTTTGCTAATATAAATAGTGCTGTGATGAATATCCTGGTACTTGCATCTTCGTGTGTATGTGAATATTTTCTCAGGTAAATTCACAAATTACTCAGTGAAAGAGCTGCATATTTTTAGGCTTTTAATGTATATTGAGAAGGTGTCCTCCAGGGGTGTTTAAATTTAATTCCCACTGATGAGTCAGGCAACAAATAATGGCAGTTGTTTTCCTTGACGTGACAATCTCAGTCTGTTCGTTTTCAAGAAAATGTCTGTCAGATACCCAAGTCTGAATAACCAGTTTGTTTATCAGTCATTTTTTTTTTCTTTTACATATAAATGGTCTTCTGAGACAAAAGCTCAGTTCAGTTTGCAAATTAAATAATTGCCTGGGTGTTTTCCTTCAAGGTGAGGATCTTACTTTGCAGCAGAAGTGTTTTTGAGAACTTCTCATTTTGTTACACAGAATGTAAGCAAGACCTCCTCTCAGACATTGAGACTTAAGAAAAGTAATAATTTCTTCTACTTCATAAAGCATATTCTTAAATGAAACCAATCCCCTGGCCCCCATGGGTATGTGATGGTGAAGAATATAAAGATTGAAACCTCTGCCTTGACTTGCCAGCATGCAAGCAGTTTTACCTACCATTGCCTTTCCCACATTAGTGCAAGCGTCAACACTGCTGAAAAAGACAAATAACATCTTAGTATTATTATGAAACTAGTTGAGACCTCATGAGTATCTGAAAGGTCTGTACACGGCACTTGGAGAACATTGTACGCTGCCTTCCTGTCACTCCCTTACTGGCTAATTGAATCTGCTTAGTTTTCCAGAGCAGTCTAAGTATGTTTAGTTTTGCTCCGAATAAAATTAGAGCATCTCATGGAGTCAGAGTCATGTCACTTCTCTGTCATTTACATCCCACACCAGGTTCATCGTTGGGTCAATTATGAATCCATGCTGAAAGAATGTCTGGTTGGCAGAATGGCAGTTAAACCTGCTCTTCCTAAAGGTAAGTTGTGCCAAGTGCTAACCTGGCAGTGATGTGTAACACGCACGTACTTTTTTTTTACTTAGATTTCGACAGATAGATTTAAATAAATCACTATATTGTTCTTATTTTTCACCGGCCTCCTGGTCCAGCCACTGTAAAGATTTTAAATGAATGAATGAATGAATGAATGAAGCAATGACTTAACCTTAGAATACTGACAGGTTTTGAGAGAACATTCATACGTGTGAGGAATGAGCATTATGGAAGTGAATGGACTCTATTTACTTCTTATTTAGTTTTCATTATTAGTCTTTTATTCTGTTGTTACATGGGTTAGCTAGAACACTTGGTTAAAGTTGAATTTTAGACTCGTTTTTGAGAATTTATTTTTTTGAATATGTAATATAGTCACATGACTCAAAACCCAGAAATTATGATGTTATACAATGAAATTTTTCCTCCCAGCTTTGTCTCCCATTTGCCTTGAACCTTCCCCTCCTTGCCCCTGTATTATGGAAAACCCTTGTTCTGATTTTAAACTACTTTTAAAATACACCCGATTCCCTACCCTAACCTTCTGACCTGACTCTACAATCTGTATGGTGTTGGAGATCACCTCTTTGCCTCCTAAGCTTCTTTCAGAAGAGCACTCTCTGAAAATTTTGGACATGCAACAGGAATAGCAGAAATGCTGCCCTTAATTCTTGACTGTGGATAGAACGGTAGTCGTTTCTTTTATTTTTTTTTTTATTATTTTTTTTTTTAATTTTTTTCAACGTTTTTTATTTATTTTTGGGACAGAGAGAGACAGAGCATGAACGGGGGAGGGGCAGAGAGAGAGGGAGACACAGAATCGGAAACAGGCTCCAGGCTCCGAGCCATCAGCCCAGAGCCCGACGCGGGGCTCGAACTCACGGACCGCGAGATCGTGACCTGGCCGAAGTCGGACGCTTAACCGACTGCGCCACCCAGGCACCCCGAGTCGTTTCTTTTAAGTAACTCCTGACTTTGACACTCAATTAAGAATAAATTGGCTTATTTGACCTGAGTCTTCTGTTTATTAGTTCAGTGAATTTTGTCATTCAGGGCCTCTGTCAGCAGTGTGGAAATAGCACAGGCATGCCCAGATTTGAACCCTAGCTCCACGGCCTATTGACTGTGCAGTCTTTGGGCCAGTTTCTACCTCTGACCCTCAGTTTTCATCTGTACAGTGATTCATAGGACTAAGAAGTAACATGAGTAAAGTTCCTTTCACCGTGAGTGTAATAGATGCTCAAAAAGGATTATTTCTTTTTCTTCCCATTGTTACAAAACAAATAAGCAGTATGTGTGTATGCCAAAAGCACACTAATGTGACTTTTAGTGTCTGGAAGTTCTTCCAAACCAGTTTACGTTTTAAGCCAATTCCTTTCTCCTTTTAACTGACTCCTAAATTCACTAATTCACTGCCAGCAGGAGACACAGTATTAATTCGAGTTTCTGAATGACTACTTTTACCTCATCCTGACTGTTCTTATCTCATTTACATAATCTGGTACTAATGGTCATGTCTTCTTCTGTAGTATCAGAAAGTATGCGGGTTCCTGAGGCTCTTATTCCATGAGGGACGTGAAGTTAGAAAAAGGACTTTTCTGGTTTCTTTCTTCCTCTCTGGAAATGAAAGACAGATGACTCTCAAAATACTTCACCAAATATGATAAACACCATTTAAAATAAGCGGATTGGTTCAAAATCTCCAGATATTTCCCCATACAAAAAGGGTAAGTTCAGGCAGCAATCCAGGGTGATAAGCTAGCTCTGAAGCCTCCGTTTCCTTCTAGCATTTATCTAGATGATCTGGATATCATCTAGATTAAGAGCCATGCCAGAATGTTAACGGTCACACAGTGGGTGGAAGACCAGATTGTGGGTCTCTAAAAGCAGGGAGTTGGAACCGAGATCCCTTCCTATGGCTTGGACTCTTGAAGGTCTGTGTAATGAGTGAAATGGGAAAGCATGAAGAAAATCTGTCCAACACAAGGGAATGTCAGGTTATTTTGTCTGCCCTGACTTTATTTATGAGGTGACAGGGGAGAGGAAAGAGAGATTTCCTCAGAGAATTTGTAACCACAGCCCTGCCTACATAAGAGTTGGGAATTCAAATATATTCCACCTATGTGGTCTCAGAAACCTCAAACCAAAAAATAAAATGGCCTCCCATTAGTAGTTTCCCAGAATGTTTGTCAGAGGTGTATACACATTTTTAATCGTGAAACACGCTTATGACCTAAAGCCCTCAAAATTCCCACAGGTACACATCAGATAATTATTAGTTTCCAATAAAAAATTAGACAACACATGAGGAAACAAATCATTGTTTCTTGTTTCTGCAAGAAACAAGAGTAGAATTTCACCCTTAGGGCTTCATTATTCATATACAGACTAAAACTAGTTATATTTGAAATGTTAAGGACAATAAGAATCTATTAGTAACATGAGTAAAAAACAAGAGACTGTTAAAATTGCTAACAGAGACTGTTAAAATTTAATTGTGTTGAATTAAAAAACAAGAGAGAATTTCTAGAAATGAAAAATAGAAGTGGTGAGTTTGAAAATTACATAGCACAAGTAGCCAAAGAGTTTAGACATAGTAGAAGAGCTCAGTGAATGGCAAGATTGAGCAGCGTAAATTATACAGAATGTACCACAGAGAAACAAAGGTGTAAAAAAATATGCAAGAGGTGTGGGGGATCCAACACTTGTAATCAGATTTCCAGAAGTAAGTAGAAGTGAGAATGAGGAAGAGGCAACATCTTGAAGGGATAATGGCTAAGAATGTTCCAGAACTAATGTCATAAATCCTCAAATTCAGCAAGTTTGGCAAATCCCAAACAAAATAAAAAGAAATCCACACATGGACTCTTTGTAGTAAAACTGCAGAACACTGAAGACAATGAGAAGATCCAGAAACAGCCAGAGAGAGACGGATTTAGTAACAGACCAGTGCTTAGTGAATTGACAGGTAAGCTACTAGGTGTAATTTATAAGCCGCCATAGCCTGTTTACCAGAACAGTAGAAGCCAGAAAACAATAGAACAGTATCTTAAAACTGCTGAGAGAAAATAACTGGCAACCTAAAATCGTTCAGTAACGAGGAGGATTAGATATAGGTAGGTAAGACTGAAAAGGAAAAATTAAAAAATAAAACAGCAACCACAAAACCAAAATCAGGAGGTTCGAAGAGTCGAGGAGACAGGCTTTCTGAATCCTAATCATAAAAAAGTAAACTGTGGTGAGTATTCTTTCTCCTCGTCACCACCTGGCTCAGGGGGGTATGAACACGTTTCCTACGCAGAATGAGATATGGAGTCAGATATTTTGCATTCATAAATTAAAAGATTCCTTTTTAACACTGTCCTCAGCTGTCACTGTTCTTAAATATTGATTACTGAGGCAGCATAGGATCTACAGAAAGCACAAATTTCATGAAGCTGACATGGGGTCAGAGCACATCTCTGCCACTTATAAGCTGTTATGTTCTTTGGTACCAGTTGACAGATCTGAGAGTTTTCCCTCAGCAGTAAAATGGGATTTAAGAAGAAAACATGCTAACGTTATTGTGAGGATTAAGCAAAGGCATGTTTGCTGACCACTAGCACCTAATAAGCTGCAGGGGGGTGGGCAGTGGAGCTGGTAGAAGTGGTTGCCGCGGTCCTAGCTACCTTCACCCCTCCACCCCTGCGGTACTGAGGCTGCTTACATTCTGTTCCTTTGTGTGTCCTACAGTTATCAGGCGTAAACCAGCATGGACTGAAGTGTTTCACCTCGAAAGATGGTTCTGTTTCCGTAAAAAAGAAAGTATTATTATTATTGCTGGAGCATGTGAGATTAGGGCTGTGAATCCAGGTTTCACTCTAAAGCCTTTTTGGAGTGTAAGTGTTTTTGCTAGGGTGAGGCCAGTAGCTGGGAGTGATGAGACAACTTGAAAAGCATTAGGAAGCAAAGACAAGAATTTTACAAATCAGAAAGGTGTTGATTCCAAGTAAGTGGATCGTTTTTGTTATTTCTTTTGTTTTGTTTTGTTAACAGTAGAGACTCAAGATACAGTTTGGACTCCAGGCTAACCAGCAGGAGTAGAGCATGTAAAAGGAACAGGGTAATTAAAGAGAAAGATCTAATGTGTCAGAAATAAGGAATGTTCTTGATAATTAAGGTGAAGTTCCATTTTAACATAAGTACCAATTGTGCCTTTCGTGTATGAGCAGGGATTGATCATTGAACTCTGCTGGGCCTTATTGATAGTAATTATTAGAACAGGGTAACTGTGTAATTGTCCAAACTGGGGCAGCTCTGAGCAGGCAAGGAGGCTCTGTGAGTAATCGTGGTGAGACAACAGGGGATAAACTGTGACTGGCAAACTGCAGCATGTGTTCACTCTCCGGTTGGAACTTCTGGATGAAATGGGATCAGAGGATGAAAAGAGTTGAAGGAAGAGCAGAGAATGAAAACAAAGATGAAGTGAGAACAGTAGGGGGAAAGAGACTGTCGCTAGCATGGGGATTTGTGGGGGGGAGATGGGCACCCATGGGCTACACCGAAGAATTTTAATGCATGGGCTTCTTTCAGTACAAGGTCCCTCACACACTCTTTTAAGGAGGTGGTCTGCCAGACTCCAAAGCAGGGGAATCCAGAATTGCCATTTTATAGCCGTCTCCACGGCTGGGCAGTTCTGGGAGGATAGTTTTCAATTTATCTGGTGGTTTCTAGTGTGGCGGTGGTGAAATGCACAGGTATGTAGGAAGAAAACAGCAAAGCTAACTGCACCAGAATATAAAACATGATACTGGTGGATCTTTATCAAGCAAAGAATCAGTGTTTTTTGTAATCCTTTGTTTGAAAAGCATTACCGTTTATATTGTGCTTTAAAAAGATCAATAATGAATAAAAGGAGAAACTTCCCTTGGAAAGTTAAGCTTCAGTTCTTGATTATTTATTTATGTGGAACACTACATTGTCTGGCAAAGATGAAGAATGTTCTT